TGCTAAAGTACTTTTGTCTTGTCCTATTAAGTGAGAGTTGTTGTAGAAATACCCAGCTGGTTAACTGTGCCATGGTCTGGATCCTGTGTTCTTTGGGGAGGAGGGCTGGGGGTGGGGGGGTTGTGCCTCAGTTGTCCCTGGGAGGGAATGGTCACAGCAAGGTCTCATAGTGGCTGGACTCTTTGGGTGCTGGCCAGGCTGTCTCACACCTGCCTGATGCCCCGACCACACAGAGCAGTGAGGAGGGCAGGGCTGCGCTGGCCTTGATCTTCCTCCTTCCCTCACTGCCACCCTCCTTCTTGTCCCTCCCTTCCCCCGCTCCGGGATGTTCTCTTATCTTTTCTCCTCCTCCTCTTACCTCTCTCTTTTTTAGTCTGGATTAGAGCAAATTCCTAGGAGTCTGGAGTTTAGCTTTTGTGATTTGAATCCCTAGGGGGAAGGTGTCTTCATGAGCAAGTAACCATTTGCCCAGGTTCAGTTTCAGACTGGAGCTGGTCCAGCTGAGACAGTGCTGCTTCCAGGTCGCCCTCCCTGCATGGTTCTGGGCAATCTGCATAGCACCTCAGGGCCCTTCCCCAAACCCAGGGTCTGGTTAGGCCAGGTGGATTGCAGGTTATGTTCCTCTGGCTCCAGAAGACCAAGATTCTGTCTAGAAACACCCTCTATGTCCATCACAGGTGGATCTGAAAAGCCAGTACACTCTGCCTTTAGCCCTGCTCCTCCAGGAGGACACTTAATTCTAACAAACCCTGTTGCAAGCTGCTTCTTGTAAGCTGCATCTTGTTAACATACTGTCATCTGGAAGTTTTCTGGCTTTCCATTTTATATGTACATCTCTAATCTACCTGGTCCTGCATCTTAAGAAATTCTTACTATTACCCTATCAGTTCCATGTTGCATGGCATCCCTCTGCCGTGTCCTTGGGACGGTGGTGCAGCCAGCTATAGCTGACCCTGTAGGCGCTTGAAGTTCACGGGGCCCCATTCTGTGGTCATAAGAACACCGAGGTGCCTATGCTCCCACAGCCTCCACTCCAGCTGGGTGCCTTCTCCCCTGGCTCCCTGAGCCAATTAAAATGCCACTGCAGGATACATAGTACTTTCATCCTGTCCAGTGGGGCATAAAAAATAGATTCCCAAGCAATGGCAGATACAGAACCTGCTTGCAGCCCATGGGTGATGAGGGGGTGTCATTCTGACTCTGTCTTGATTATTTTCTTGCTTATAAATGTTAGGTTTTTACCACTGTTATCTCTTCATTCTCAGAAATTCCAACACAGAGACAGGAGAATGTAAAAACTGCACTTTTCCTAAATAATTTCACTGTGATTCACTCCAGACTGTGATATCTGAAAGCATAGCTCTCAGCAGCTGCCCTGTGTGCCTTCACGGCTGTGGCCACACCTCCCACCTGCCTGGCCTGCCAAGTGCCGCTGCCCTGCTGCAGGTGGCTCTGAAGCCAGCTCTGCCAGCCCTGTCACCCTGCTCCTTAAAGTGCCGTCCCACGGTGTCTCCTGCTCTGTTCAGGACTTGTCCAGCCTCACGTCTGAAGTGTGTTAGGTGTGCAGTTTTGTCGGTTGCAGCTGGGTTCAGCCCCGCTTTGGTTGCCACACCACAGTGGTAACCCTCTCTCCCTCTCTGCCTTCACGTGACTGCACACACCTCCAGCCACAGTCCCCACCGGGAGCTCTTGGGTAGAGTCAGGTGGATTCTTCAGAGCTAGGATTTAAGCCTCCAGAGGCCCTGAGGCTCAGGCCTGGGCCTTTATCCCAGTGATACCCAGGGCTGTGTCACGGGCTGTGGCACCAGCTGACAAGAGGACTCGGAACTGTCGCTGTGAGGGATGGGTCTGGTCTGACGTCAGATCCTCAGCCCCCTGCCCCCACTTTTCCCTGAAGCTCTGTTTCCTGTCAGAAAACAGTCATTCCACACTGCCCTCCTTGGGGCTGCCCACAGGTAGTGTCACTGTGCCCCCTCCCCTATCAAAACACCTTGTAGTTTCTGGCTTCTCATTGCACCTACTGCCTTGCTGCCGTCTCTCCATGGCAGGGACCAGGAGCTGTGCTTCCCTGAGGGTCCATTGCTGAGGGCAGCAGAGACGGGTTTAGTGCCGCTTCTGCGCTACAGGTCACAACTGTCCGGCCATGACATCAAAGCTGCTGGCGTCCCTCCCAGGTAGCTGTGTAATAAGGGGACCCTGCTGTTTGCACTGAGCGTCATACTCCTCCTTTCCTTGAGAGGCAGATTGCTCATTACTGACATGCTGAGTCACAGCAGCATCCGCTTCAGATGCATCTACCATTCTACAAAGCTATGGGAATGGCAGGGCTTGGGGTTTGCACTGGTGGGTTATTATGATGCCGGCTGGACCCAGAGTCATGTAGGCAGAGAGGGAACATGTCTGGGCTCTATCCTGGTTCCTGGGCATGAAGTTCTTAAACTCCTGGGAATCTCTTGAGTGTTTGCTGATGGGGCCCCTTAGATGGGGCTCCCAGATAGCTGTCACATGGGGCTGGTCACCAGGAAGACCTAGACATTGGAGGGCTGGATCTGCTGGCCTCTGGGCAACATGGTGGGGACTGGAGATTGGGCTGTTAAAGCACATAGCTGGTGACCATGTGTCCATCCTGGGGGATGAGGTATGCCCGGCGATATTGGGACCCTGACAACCTTGCCTCCTCCACCTTCATATGGCCATTCATTGGTACCTTTTATAATAAGCCCATGAACATGAGTAAAGTGTTTTTCTGAGTTCTGTGGGCTGTCCTGTCAAATTAATAGAGCCAGGGGGGTAGTCATGGAAACCAGTGATTTGTAGCTATTCAGTCAGAAGTGCAGAGGGCTCCAGACGCGTGTCCACTGCAGGGGCAGCTTTTGAGATAGAGCCCTGAGCTGCGGGTTCTGTGCCGACCCAGGGAGGTTCAGGATGGACATGTCTGGTTCAAGGGTAGGCTTATATATGGAGCCCACCATGCTCTCAGCAGATAGCAGGGTCTGTTGGTGGTCAGCCAGTGTACACACACTGTTGCTGTCCTTCTGAGAGCAGGTGGGACATAGCCAGGCTGAGTGCCCAGACCCTATATGGATGAAGCCAAACTCAGCTGAGCTGCATGTAGATTTCAAGACAGGGCAATGGCACACTGTGCTCTGGGTTGATTAGATTGAAACTGGATGTGTCCCCCTCCTGCCATGCAGCCAGAGTGACGTGTTTCCGTGTGTCACCTGTGCATGTGGCCTGGGGGAATGAGACTTTTAAGGGCTGGGGCAGACTCAGGAGCCACCCTAAACTCAAAAAATTAAGTCTTCCTGTGAGCTGAGAAATCAGTCACTACGTCCCCACCTTGGGGCCAGTTTCTCTACTCCTTGGTTCCGAGCTTTCTAGCTCCAGGTGCTTGCTGGGTGGACACCTGAGTGCAGCATCCTCCCCAGCAGGCCTGGCTGGTGGCCTCAGACCAGGTGCAGAGCACTGGCAGGTGGTCTGCCCAGCACCGCACCACTGACCCCTTCCTACTGGAAAACCACAGCTATGCTGGGAATTTCAAATGCATCGTTTAGTGTTTCTGAAATCACAGCAGGGTTTCTAAAAATACTTAATATACTTTTTGAACTTTAAATTTATTTTTCAACAGAATAAATGTACTTAAAAAGTACTTTTTACCACTATCTCGAGGTCTCTTTCTGAGTAGCAATCAAGGTTCTTAGGAGACGAGGCTTTATTTCACAAGCATCAGCCAATTCCCAGGATGGAATTGTATGAATAGTGAGATGATTATCTAGGCCTGGTGGTAGCTTCCAAGGTATCACTGTATGTAGCCTGCACATCCTCCTCCTCCTGGGTCAGCTCACCCTCAGACATACCTGGTATCTCTCTGCTTGAGATCTGGACACCTTAGAGTTAGGGGCAGGGTGGGGGGACCCAGGCTTCCCAGCTGGGGCTCTCTGAACTGCCCAAGAGCTCAGGGGCCATGCTTGTCTCCTCCCTGCTAGCATCATCTAGCACCTAGGGCCATGGCTTTTGTCCTTGTGTTTTGAACCTCAGCTATGCTAGGTGTTATCCATTCTGGCAAAAGCAGGTTTTCCTCCAGTCTGCTGACCTGGCGGTGGGAGTGTATGTCCTGTGCAGACCAGTAAGGAAGCTGACCTTCCTGGGCCAGCTGTAATGATATGCATGTCGTTGCAAGGCACTTTACACCACTTGTCAAAAGAAGCTAATTTTAAAAGAAAAATGTGATTCCTGGAAATCTTGCCAGAGTTTTTGTTCTTTTCTATCTAGGAAAATACAGGAAATCTAGGGCCATCTAAATCCAGCCTGTGCCATGTTTACGTGGCGGATGGGTCCTGGGCTTGTCTCTGCAGACCTGAATACATGGAAGCAGCTGCTGAACTCGGTCTAATAGTGGGTTCAGAAGAAGGGTCCGGGGGTGGCCCCTGTGGCTCAAAGGAGTAGGGCACCGGCCCCATTTACTGGAGGTGGAAGGTTCAAACCTGGGCCCAGCCAAAACTGCAAAAAAAAAAAAAAGGGTTCTGTGAGTCGTAAACCCTCAGAAGCTTCTCCCCAAGCGCATTGGGCCTAAGCCGCCTGCTGCCCCCTTGCACTTCTCTGGGCTTCCAGCCCCTCAGGATCGGGATGAGGAAGAGGAGCGCCTTTGTTTTTATTGTCTAAATGCTTGTGGTCTGCAGAAAAACTTGTCTCTGATAAACACAATTAGGTATAATGCGGTTGCTACACAGAAGTAAACCCAAATTGCTAAGCCTTTTGCTCTCAGGCCAGAAATTTGTGTTTGCCATATCTCACTTGGGGACTGTTTTATTTTCAAAAGGTCTTTTATTTTCTTTGGCAAACACAAATAGTCCATGATAGATGTAAACTGTCCTCCTTTACCACTGGGAAAGACATGCCTTCTCTGGCTAGAGAAGAGCTGCTGCTCACAGTCTCAGTGTAAAGCGGTATGGCTGAAATGCTCACTGTCTCTAAAGCCTATTGCCCTCTCTGTTCTTCAGATGGACTCTCTGGCCGAGACCAGCCAGTGGAGCTGCTGAATCCTGCCCGCGTGAACCACATGTCCAGCACGGGTAAGTTAATTCTCCTGCCCCATCCCCTCCTTGCTAGACCAAGCGCAGGGCTGTTTTCAGGGTTTGCTTTGTTGGCGGAGCATGGGGAGATGCTTTCTCCTTTCGAAATGAAGCTGGCATTGGCTTAGTGCTGTTTATGGTAGAGAAATGCTGATCCTTTTTCTCTTAGGCTCTCAGGGTGTGCTCTTCCCAGAGGCAGGTGAGCACAGGCTGGGTCTGTGGGAAGGTCTGAACTTGAGCTGGAACTCGGCCAGGCTGGGCTGGGCCTGGGCTAGGAGTGGAAGTCCTGCATGGTGGGTGGCCAGGCTGCTGGCCAGCAACACCACCATGGGCAGATCTCCCTGTCCTAGCCCTTGAAAACTGTTTTTTGTTTTGTTTTTGTTTTTTTTCTTTTCTTTTCTCTTTTTTTCCGTAAAGCATCTCTTTCTGTGTAGACTCTTCTAGGGTTTAAACCCTAGCGTGGGCACCATTCTTTATAGCCACTTGCCTTAACGAGAATAAAGCCCAAACCCCCTGAAGCCCTGGGGCTCAGTGACTGTCCCCATTCCACATGTGTTTGGTGGGCAGCATTGCTGGGCCCTTGCTACCTGCCACCGCTGTGTCCTGAAAGCTTGGGTCTCTGGTCTTCGCTCTGCTGCAGCCTCCTGGACAGCCAGGCTTGCTTGCTCTGGTCCCGCTGGTTCTGACCTCCATGGGATTCCACTGGGCCTAACCATTGCTCTTGAAAAGAAGTTGAAGCAAGAGCTTGAAGTCAGGTTGAACATTTTCAAGAAGAGATCTCTTTCTTTGCCTAGTGATTCTTCAGGGTTGGCCAGGGGTCTTTTTGTGGTTTTTCCCCAAACACAAAAGTTCCAGTGGAGTCTTTGCAGCGATCCTAGCAGGTACTTTGTGTCCCTGGGGCATGGTGCTGTAGCCTCTGTAGGGACGCTCAGGGTAGCTCTTCCCTGTCTTCTGTCACCTCTACTGTACCTCTACTCCTACCAAGGGTGAATCTATGTTTTGACCCTAGGACACTTGAGTCTGGTGTGGGGGGAAGAGCTTTAAAGTCCATCTGGAGGTGCTCGGGTTCTAGGTTGTGCCTCAGTGGGAACAGTTTTGATTGTCACTCTCTCGAGTTCACTTTGCCAGTGTTCTTACTGTTCAGACATTGAGTTCCATGTAGTTTGGACCTGTGCTTGCCTAGGTGTGGATGGTGTTAAGAGTTTTCAGACAGCTGGGTGGGCTGTGCAGAGATGGGAGGCAGCACAGCTTCCCAGTGAACCAGAAGAGGTGACCTTCAAGTTGACAGTCTGGCTTGGGAAGTGCGTCCTACGTGTCCAGACCTGAGATGAGACTGTGGCTTAGTGTGGGGACAGACCGAGGACTCAGTGTGGCATAGTGCAGACTGGGACCTGCCCTGCTGTCCACTGACCGTGACTCAGGCATGATGATGATGCCTCTGCAAGTTCTACAAAGACCAAGGACAGGTCAGCTTTTTAGTAGTTTCTCAAGTATTGTCTCAGCATCCCCTTGACAGTGCCAGGTCTAGTCCAGGCCGGCTCCTATGGTCCGTTACCCTTATTCCCCTCCTTTGGGCTGAACCACCCAGCTTGGGAGATGGCATGTTGGGAAGTGTGCCCCATAAAATTGACACTTGTCATTTACCTTCCTGGGGACCAGATTCCCAGTGGTCAGAGTCACAGACTGGCTCTGTGTTCCTTGTTGTCCCTACAGATCTAACCGGCACTGGTGGTCAGAGTGTTTGTGGGGGACTTTAAACCGGTGTAGACGCAGTGTCAGGGGGACACTCTGCCTGGCCCCCGCTGCTGCAGGCAGAGCCAGGATGCTCACTGGTGTGGTGTGTGCATGATGCCTGACGTTAAGCACTCCTTAGACAACTCTAAGCTGAAGGGCATTGTTTATAAACTCCATTTTGATCATTTCAGCTCACTGTAAGATACTACGAAAAAATACTAATCTCAGGCTAGGTGATAATTTGGAAATTTCTACGACATGTCTGTTAAACTACATTTTTATGATACAGAGGTAGAAGCATTCTTAGGTGTATTTTTATGCCAGTACCACTTTGCTGTTGTATATTTACTAATGCCTGGATTTAGTCTTAAGTATTCTTTTGACAATTGAAGGTATTAAAACAAACTTTTATATATATGCACACACACACACACACACACACACACACACGTTAATCATCAGGAATTTCTTCCACACTCTCTATGGGTACATGTTCCCTTTGAACACTTGTGCTTTTACTGTGAATGGGAAGATGCCCAGATCTCCCCCCCGCCCCACACACCTGCTGACTTCTCTTCCTTGTTGCGACTGGCGGCACATTCAACACAATTGTTTGGGGGGGGCGTTGCTTATGATTCTTTTTCAATACACTTAGTCCTTATAAATTCTCATTTCAAATAAAAAAGCATTATTCATATTGTTTATATTATGCCGTCTTGAATCGAGACATTAACTCAAGCAAACACACCACTTTTGTTGGAAAAATCCACCCATGAGTCTCCTTTATCTGAGGTGCTTGGCATCAGGGGTGTTTGGGATTTCAGATCTCTTTGGATTTGGGGATATTTGTACTGTCCTGACCAGCTCAGCACACTAAATCTGAAAGCCCAAAATCAGAAATGCCCCAGTGAGCAATTCCTTTGATCATCATGCTCAAAACATTTGGGATTTGGACTATTTTAGATTTAGAATGCTCAACCAGTACCAGAGGAGAAACAGGCCAAAATTCTGCTTGTTTTGGACTGTTGATTTCTTCCGCTTCCCTCTTAACTAAGGTGACCAGATGTCCTGCTTTTGGTGGGACAGTACCGATTTTTAACGATTTGTCCTGCATCCGGCTACGTTTTTAAAAAGTCCCGATTTTTGGAAAGAATGCATGACAAGCTAGGGAACGGTGGGAGAACGGGAAGGGAATAGACAGTTTTCAGCTACCATGTGGCTATTTTGCCAGGATATGAGTTTTATATTATTTTTGTTAATTTTATAATGTTAAACTTTAATAATAATAAATCATTGTTGAGAACTGATTATTGAGAACTGCTTATCAAAGTTCACATTGTTGATCAGTTGTTAGAATTCAACCACCATTGTTTAGACTTAATGAACAATGACATTTTTGGCATTGGCAATGCCGAAAACATTTTGTAACTGTCTCTCAGATGATACATGTCGTACTGCGTGCTAGTGCTAGTTATAGTTAAACAAGTGATATCGACAAATCAGCTATTCAGATAATTTAGGCAAGTAATTTATTTATTTATTTCATGAATTTTCCAGACAGTGCTTGTATTATTTATATTTTATAGTGGTGGCAAAAAGTCTAGCACCGGCCTTGAAAGTGACACGACTTATGAGGCATCATTATTAAAAAAATATATTGATAAGGAAAAGGTTAAATCTTGGGCATCAGCAAAAATCACAATAGAGAATAAATGGTTAGAAATATTTCATCATTTTGAAACAAACCATGTTCCATACCAGAATGCACTAAAAATTGTGGGATACGCATTGTCCTCACCAGGAACTAATGCTGAGACTGAATGCGTTTTTTCTATGGTAAATAAAGTGTGGACATCAGAAAAATCACAATTAAGTGTTGAGACTTTGAAAGCCAATTTATGTGTGAAATATAATTTAACAAATTCTTATGAAAAATTTCATGACCTTTTAAACAATGACAGCAATCTACTAAAAAAAATTCACTCAAATGAGAAATATGCCAAAGAAAAAATAATACTATATGTAATTTTTTAATGTATTATATTTGTAAATTGTACTTATGTTAAAATTAATAAAATATAGTACAATACTATTTTTGCATTCTATGAAAATTTTTGTTGCTCCATAGAGACCAAATTTTTAATTAAGAACCCCACCCCCACCCCCCAGTCAATGGTGTCCTGCTTTACCAATGTTAAAATCTGGTTACTTTACTCTTAACCATCCACGTGTGAACAAAACTTGCCTTTTTTCTATACTTTCCTTTCTGTTCCTTGTTTCTGACAGAGTACACATAATATTTGCCTGCCACCAAGATAGAACAGGTAGTATTTTGATATTATTCTGTATCAACATGGTAATTCACTTCTGTGAATACACAGAACGTTACACGTACAGGCAGTCTGCAGCCTTTTCTCAAGAAGCAGAGGGGCTGCTCTTGGATGAGGCCTTGACCAAAAAGGCCCAGCCTGGGCGTAAACATGGCAGGGGGCCGGGTGGGGCCAGGGTGGGTGTGGGGGACCGGCCTGGGCGTAGACATGACAGGGGGCCGGGTGGGACCAGGGTGAAAGTGGGGGACCAGCCTGGGCGTAGACATGGCAGGGGGCTGGGTGGGACCAGGGTGAGAGTGGGGGGCCAGCCTGGGTGTAGACATGGCAGGGGGCTGGGTGGGACCAGGGTGAGAGTGGGGGACTGGCCTGGGCATAGACATGGCAG